AGCGTCGGATCGTACTCATTTTAGGAGCAGTTTCGGGGGATGTTTTGTAGTGTCCGAATCGGGTGGATGTTGGGGCGAAATTTGCAAATTAAGTGTGAAGTAGGGGCATGGCTTGCGGCATCCTTCTGCCCAAGTCGTGGGCATTCAGATGGGAATGGAAGTGAGTGAAGTATCGGGTCTTTGTCAGGGAGAGTCATCTGGGATGCGTCGGGGTCTCCCGAACGAATAACCTGTGCAAAATTATTGAGAGGGCTCCACTGTGTCCTTATCCATCTTCAAACTTCACTGTCATCAGTTCTCTCCTGCAGTCTAATACCTGAAACCTCTGCCGGGCGAGGCGAATTCTGGACCCTGCAGTAGTTACTCGTGTAAAGCATGATTCAGGATCCGCCTTGCGAAGTCCAGCGACGTTCTTGCTGTTCCGAGCTACGCTATTTAGGTAAGTAAGTTCTATAGAAGCTCAGATTTGTGGTAATATGTTGAGTCGTGAGTGCAGTGCAGTGTTATCGGTCTTCGTGAGTCGATTTGTTCGACACCTATCACGCTTTGGTCCTCGTTCTCAGGCTGACAGAGAATGGCGATTCTTTCATCCACACTTTTTTTTCCAAGAGATATATAATGGTTTTTTGTGATATCAGGTGTCAGAACACTCGTCCTCTGAGAATTCTTCGTTATCCCAGTCTCCAGCACCAAAGAGCTTACGACTATAAGAAGCCTCTAATCTGTCAAGGCTGGACTCCCACTTGCTCTGGGAGATGACTGAGACAGGCAAGGAATGATGCTGGTCGCTCGAGACGAACAGGCGAAGAATTGTCTACACTAATCTCTCGTTCTAATCTTGACCTCATGCTCGCCTACATTCATCAGTCTGTTTCTTGTATTCCTCAGAGCCCAAGAGGTCGTTAGAAACCATGCATTGACTCAAATGAGCCTGTAATTCTTAAACAACGGGCCCTGCATGTGCAATATTCCCGGCCCGCTCCGCTTAGTGTCATCTCGTCTCGTCAATTGTGCCAATTCACAAATGCAAGCAAGTGAAACGGTGACAACCAAAGCCATCTCAGGTATCTGAGCCTACCGCAGTGAAACGAGGGAAGGAGTTTGTTCAGGTTCCAATGGCAGCCCAGACTGCTTGACTCCTGCTCGCCCGACAATGACACGGGATTTTACGTCCTTTACAATCCTTGTGAGAGACTGTCCGCATTATATTCTTCATCGAATTATTGGAGTCTTCGCTCTTTGCTCATCTTTCCGTGTTGAGGTTTCGAATCCCTCTCATCCGCTTTCGGAACTCAATCTGACTCATATCTGAAGGGATTTTCCGTGTGAAAACCTTCGTTCGGTTATTCTGCATGCCAGCAGAACCCGACGAGTGCCAGATCCTGGGAGGCGGAACAAGTTTCACGGATTCAGTCTGACGACTTGGAGGGATGCGAAGAGAGAATCTTCTGGGCTCTGGAACCGTCTCCCTCCGAGACAAAAGAGAGAATCATACTAGTGTAAAACTGGACTGGTCTAGCATTTCCTCAGCTGCTTGTGGCTTTGGCTTACATGAGTTAGGACAAGCGTCAAAGAAGCTCGCCTTCCCGTCAGAAGATATCCACATGAACGCAAGTGGGGCAATACATTGTGAATGGGATTGAATGGGACTGAGATTCTTGATGCTTTTGCACAGAGGAATCGAGCCATCTGAAGTCAGTACTCCAGTGAGCAGTGTCGAACGAGATTTGACGAACACGGCCATTCTATCGGGTAAACGATTCAATGGTATCTATTCCCCGGGCTCTTTTCGGTCAACAAAGGGTTTTTGTCCTGCGCGAATGAAATTGTCTTCTGTACATTGAGAAAATGAATCATGTCTGTTGAATCGACATTTTCTGACTTTTTCAGTCAGTCCGGACTAAAAGTCAGTACGATGTAACAAAACGAAGTAACGTTCCTATTGGACAGTGGAAAGTGCCAGTCGCGGACACTATAAATAGAACAATAATCGAGCAGAAGCACAAGTCATTTCTTTTTCATTTTAAAACTCTCAGTTGAGAGATAGAGCTGAATTGGAATCTGCCTCATATCAACGGGCAGGCATCTTTGTTGAGGAAATTCAGTACCCACATCATAAATGGGAGCACTCGCATCCTGTTCAAGCGCATTCATTTGTTTCGGAGATGGCAGAAGTAATTTTCTTAGAATCGAAAGATTTGAAATTCGTAGGGAACCAACTCAAACAGGTCTGTCGTGTCGAAATTGATCTCTAAGATCAGTCTTAAGCTCTGGGACAATCGTTTGTGATTGTGTCGTCAACGTCCTCGAGAAAGACTTATGTTCAGTACTGGAAAACGTGGGCACATATTTGTATTTAACTCTTCATCTTAATCATGGATTTTGAAACGTTTTCAGAATTGTTAAAAATTCGAAGTAGTGGCAACCAACAAGAACATCGAACCACCATAACGCTTGCGAGGGACTGTATTTCCAAGCAAGATGATTGAGGACAAAATCTAAAGAATTGTAGATTCGAAACGAAAGCCTTCAAGAACATGTGCAATCATATCGATTATAGAAGAGTGCAGCCTATTTTAGAGCTGAAGATCAAGTCAGAGTGGAGTCGGTGTACCAACGATTTCTCCATTGCAAGATGGACGTACAAGGCTAGCGAATTTACCCATTGACGATTAAGGTGTGTCAGGCAAATCAAAGACTTCAGTGATAATTAGGCAAGGTTGACGAGATGGAGAAAACCACCACTTCGTAGGGTCTGGTCTGGTCTGATCATTTGGCACCTCAGTGGGTCCTTAAGAGAATCGTGTACAGCCCCACCAGATAAAGACCTGTCCCTCTACTCGTTCGTAGCCGCTGCTTTGCTGACTCGAGCAAAACTGCACGCCTGTTGACACACATTAAACTACCAATAAATGCAGCGAAATCAAATTCTTCCGGCCAGGTAGAAACATACGGCACGTGCGTAGAAGGAAGCCATGTTACAATGCACGTTGGTCTCGTGAGAAATCGGAAACAGGCATGACGATGGCCTCGAGGGATTTCAGACGTTTCCTCGCTGGCTGGAAGGGTCAACAGCGGATTTGAGCAGGACATAAAGGAATCGACCTACTATTCTTGCAGCTCCTCGACACGGATTGGAGAATCACGTTGTCTGTCCACGAATTTCAGCAAATGAGAAATCACACGTGACCGAAATCGGTCCAGACTGGTTCCGTGGTCCCGATGAGTCTCCGGTGGCCAGATCGCAGATCTCTTTTGCGTTTGCATGTTCTAGAGCTCAATCACATCCTCGCACCGATGGGCCTATGACATCTGCGGGTCCGTCACACATCCGACCAATCTCATGTTTTACCTCTGTCTCTGCGATCGTGCCGCGTTCTGAAAAAAAAGTCTGCACACCTGCATAAAATACACATTGCAGATAGATTCACGAGACTTATCCGCAACGACAGGAGGATTTGGTCGAGGACGGGCCCAGACTGCTTTTGAGCGAAACGCGAAGCTCCACCACGCGAGCCATATCGAATTCGTCACGAACACCTGGCGGCGCGCAAAGGGATTCTGAACCTCGTGAAGGTAGGGTAGCTAGCTTGGTAGAGCGACTGCGAGCGACGATCCTCGTAAGCCCCCCTACGCTTGCGTCGTGGTGGAGGCACATTGACGCTCGCACCTTCTCTTTCTCTCGTACGTCGGTTCCATTCTTTGACTCCTGGTTGGGGCCCCCCTTCCTGGCATGCCGTCCAGGCCATAGCCCACGGAGCACGTGCGCGGACATGGTAGGAACCTACGGGACTTCGTCGAGCTCCGCAGGCATGGCTTCGAGAGCTAACGCAGGCGGGGGCATGACGCTCGGTTATGTGGCTTGCATGCTCGAAATATCCGCTGCTTTTGGATTTGTTTTTTTTTTTTTTTGGTCTGTCTTTCGAGGAAGTAGCTGTCGACCATACAGTCTCCGTGCAGGAGCTTCGAACCCCGTTGATTGGTGTTAAATACTAAAGATCGGAGTCAATGGGACAAGATTGCACTGCTTGTACAACTCATGCAGAGCCTCTGGCTACTCTGTTGTGTGTGGGGGAGTGGGAGGGAGCACGGGCATGCGTCATCTCAGGGTTTATGTTTTCACCCATGGCTTTGCGAATTATCGGTCCTCTTGGTGTGAGTCATCTGCCGGTGGCGTTCGTCTACTGCAAGGAAAAAGGAGTGCATGGTCGGCGACATGTCTTTATTTACGTTCGAATTTGACCTGGCAACCTGGGACGCAAATTGCTCGGGCAAGTATTCATGTCGAATTTATATTAATGACGCTTATTTGGGGGAAGACTAGTCTTTCGTGCTTCCGATCGTCGGGAACATCAAGATTATATCAAATGCCGGGCAATCAGAGTAGACAAGGAAGATGCATCATAATCGCGCATTTTGCCGGGCAACAGTTTGAATCTCGCCTTTCTGTACTCCTTCCAAGGCCAAGACCGAATCCAAGACTCAAGCACCGAGGTGTCAAACTAAGCTACCTTGCACTTCCTTCTTATATATGTCCCCATGTCGAAGACAACAGGTGCACATTCTGCGAGGCCTGTACTATTTCAGAATCTTCGTTTACAAGTACAGTCGACTGTCGGAATTGCACTTCCAAGCCTGATACGCATCCAGCTTTTCAAATTGTTATACGCAGTAGGAAGAAACTGGGAACATTCCGCATCGTCGTGCACACAAATGCAATATCCGTATTCGTGGGTCGAGAGGCAGAAATAAGAAAAAAATCACTGGTCAACTGTCAACTGCATGCATTGATTCGATGGTGAACCACTTCACGTGCATTTTGATAAATGTGTACAATGAGAACACACTGAACGAAACGTATATCCAAAAGCATTTGCCCATCAGGTAAAATGCTTTCGAGAACTATTTTCGATCAAAAGCGCCCAATATACTGAAATTTCCAGAGGTGAATCCGTCGACAGTGCACACACATCTCATCAGAAAGAATGTAACCACTTTTCGGAAGCAGGAAAATGATCCCGGCTGCTTTGAGTGTTATTTAACAAGCAAGCGCGTCAACAACAGAGTGTTTCAATATGTTGTCTTACAAAGTAGGTGCTTATTACCCACCAAAGCAGCGCAGACTACGTGACAGTCTAGATAAGAACGAGCTTCACGGAATTTCGTAACTAGACAGTCTCTTTTAATCTAGAAACGCAAAATTAGTATGAAAGAGATTTATAGTACAACGATCACATCCCATCAGACCTGCCTAATTTTACTGGTGACTTGTACTGCCCCAATCACACCTCTTGATCCTTATTTTACAATGGGAGAAAGCAGGGTGCTGTCCCACAGACCGGGAAGAAAGGATACTCAATAAAACACGGAAAAACTATGTATTAATGGCAGGGACGAAAATTAACGCTGAATCGCCGGACGCAGCAACAAGAAAATTGAGAGAAACATGAGAGCCACCAGGGGCCCCCGAGTGCAGAAAGGACAAGCTCGTCGTCGAGAGCGCGACTCAGTAGCGAACATATACGTGGCGCGGAAAGAATCGGGGCATGGTGAAAGACTGTCCAGTATGACACTCTTGCAACAAGGTCAGACGAATTCAGCTACTGTCTCAACTGATCCAGAGTGATCATTAGGACTTCTTTACGAACTACCTAAGTGTTTAGAGTTCGATTTACATACACGTTGCGACTGGATGTCACTGAATAAAGGAGGTTGATGGTCAGGAGGCTCTACTCGAGAAGTTTACTACTGCTACTATGTTTAGAGCATACCAAAGTTCCGTTGAATGATCACAGGCCCAAAGAATGTTCGTCTAGTGCAGAAGCTACTCAACTTTGGGGGATTTCTCCACCTCTGCAGGGGAAGCACTGCCAGTTCGTCGGTGCCTGAAATTCGTCGCTAGAGAAGGAGGAAGAGGAGGAGTCTGCATGGCACTGATGTTCTGGCTGGACAAACTTGCCGTCAGAGCAGCGATATTCTGGTTGGATTGGCTCGCAGCCAACGAGGAGATATTTTGGCTGGAACCCATCGAACTCAAGGCACCGACGTTTTGACTGGAGCGGTTGTATTTCAAGTGGCTCTTCACAAGCGTATTCGATGCCAAGGCCGACATCAATGAAATCTCTCCCGCCAAAACTGAACCAGCGACGATTCTGGCAAGTTGCTCGGCATTTGCTCCAGGCATTTCTGCGTTGGCACCCCGCACTCCAAGGAGATTCAAACATGCTGCCTGAGATGGCAACTGAGTACCTCCTCCAATTGTTCCGACCTGCAGACAACATGATTTAGGAAACGTACCACTGGAAAAAGCGAAAACAGGTCTCCACAATTCACAACAAAGTCCACTAGTAAGAGTCGTTTCTCTTCCACGTATAGATTGATAAAGAAAGGGCTACCTCGATAGATGGCATTGTGACAGAAATGTGAAGATCCCGTCCTCCATTCACGGCCTCCATCATTGTCAGGCACTGCGAGCTCTCGACATTTTGTGCGGGATCTTGACCTGTGGCTATGTATACTGCGGATACAATATTCGCCGCGTGTGCATTGAACCCTCCAAGAGCACCAGCTAGAGCAGAACCCGCGAGATTCTTAATCGTGTTCAACTCCACAAGGGCAGGCACTGACGTTTTCAGAACTTTCCGAACAACCTCCTCTTTGAGGACCGCTTCACATACCACAGACTTCCCACGACCCTCAATCCAGTTCACTGCAGTAGCCTTCTTGTCGGAGCAGAAATTACCTGGACAAGTCATGTATATCGTATAAGTACACAATCTCTTCTTCGTCAAGCTAGAAATTCAAAAACGTTTGGGAGTGCACAAGTTCTAAGACTGGTACACACAAATGCGTTGCAGGATTTTAAGACGTTCTAGAGGACTAAGAATCAATCCAAATTTTGCTCACCAGATATGCTAATGGGCTCCATGTCCGGGAACACGCTCTGCAAGTAGTTCAACACATTTTGCACACCCTTCGAAATCATGTTCATTCCCATGGCGTCACCAGTCGAAGCACTGAACCGCAGGTACACATTTCGCCCGGCAAGAACACAGTACACATCCTGCAACCGTGCGAACCTACTGGTCCTGTAAATGGAAACAACAATACAGCAGTGATAAGCTCCCATGCCATTGCAACAACTGAATTGGACATTCTCTTTCGACACTTTCCCAAATTGAGGATGTTTCGTACGTGTCGACAGCACACACATGACCCTACGTCACCTACCTAATCATGTTCCACAAAAGCGACAAGAATTGCCCCGAGAATCTAGATCCGAAATTCAGTGGTCTAGCCACCAAAACATTCGCCCAAAAGAGAACAAAGCGCGGAAGTTTCTGAGCTGACACGACGACATACACGGAGTAACGAAAATGATAAAGCAGTTACCACCACTTGTATTGGTTCACATGTTTTCGACATACCTGTTGAAGACCACTGAGAGAGTATCAAAATTGTTGGCATCTTCGACGAAGAACTTGAGTGCTGCGGCACGCTTGGCGCTTTCAAAACGAACGACGGGAGCTCTGGTCATGCCATCTCTGAGAACGACGCTTGAAGCGCCGCCTGATTGCGCGATGGCTTTGCATCCCCTGTTGGTACTGGCGACTAGACAACCTTCAGTGGTAGCCATAGGAACTGTGTATTCAAATCCGTCAAGCAACAGAGGGCCGGCAACCCCAACTGGAATTTGAACGTGGCCGATAACCATCTCGCAGCATTGTCCCAGAATCTTGGAGTAATCCATTCCTTCCAAAGGCAGACCATCCAAAGTTCTGCCAGTGGTGAGTTCGACAGCTCTTCTTCTGACGCCGGCAGCTCGCTCGCAATCTTCCAACTCAGCCTCCAGGGAGTACGATGGGGTTTCACCATTTCTCACTGCCTCTGCAATGTCCTCATTCTCATGCTCCTTCAGGGACTTGCCCTTCAGCAGAGCAGGGGAGCGAGAAATGCTGGGAGTGCAGCTCTCGGGTTGAGCCTGGCAATTCACTCCTGCCACCCTGTAATCTTCGGAATCCCAGGAACCATCAATGGATTTGTTTATAAAAGTTTGCACATAATCGATACCGAAGAAACCAATCAAATAGATGAATGAGGCCAGCTGAGCAATGATAGCCGCAATTTCTCCAAGATTGAGCATATGAAGAGGAGTGGAAGTCCTGATTTTCTCCCTCCAGCGACGCATTAAGTAATAGGACGCAGAGAAGAACAGGACCATGAAAATTTTGTTCGTCAAGCCGACGGGAAGAGGAAGCGCATCCGAGGCCAAAGGCTTGCCCTCCCTTTGCCTTTTGGAGTGTCTGTGGCCCCCATTCGGAGGAGATTGCACTCCATAAGTCTTGAGTCCATCTCCCGACTTCATCGTGGCTCTGTAAGGCGAATCGACCAAAACTACACGTTCTACGGGAGCAAAATCGAATGTATCGCCTCTTGGGCCCTTGATCACTTAAGCTGCTGCGGCCATGCCCTCGACAGACGACCACTGGCTGCCCACGAGATGTCAGGCAACTCGGGCCACCCGGACAGCAGCAGGCAGTGGGGTATGCACTAACGGCTCCGAAGCTCAACTCCTCAACCAGATCTACGACAATGCTGAAAGAAAGCAGAACAAAATCGACTGGGATCCAAGACTACGTCCTCGATCCAGCCTGTCAAATCTCCTCGACTTGGCCACCTCAAACCCCAGATTCACTCTAATCGCTCGTGAAACCCTCTAAATCTGTCACCAATAGACCCCAATCGATCACTACACCACAAATCTCCGGCACTCTGTCGCCTCGGCCTCTTCGGCTCGACTCCACTGCCTCCTCCTCCTCCTCCGCTCTCCCAAGAATGACCCCAACCTCCGACCCTCGATCGACTCGACTCGACTCGTCTTGACTCACTGGAACATGGGCGAGCACCGGAAAAAGCGCAGAATCCGCCCGATCGATCTCCGACAATTTTTGAACCAAGAGAAAGCAACTTTCCTTGCCTTCCTTGGCTCACACACTCTGCAATGAAGAAATGCCAGAGCAAGCGCTCGGGCTTTTGTACCCTCTCGACCACAGACCTAATACTACTCCGTCTTCGCTCCGGCCGCGGACTGCAGTTCCACCCTCCCCTCGCTCTCCTCTCGTGGTTCCGCTCGAGCCCGCCGGACGAAGCTGCCGTGCCACGGTCCACATCGCGCGCCCTCCAACTGCCCACCTCCAGCTATCAGTCTCCGACCTCACCACCTGGCGCGAGCCTGCCCGCGAGCCTCCGAGCCGCTGCGAAGCTCCTCCGAGCCGGCCCCTCGACTGCGGTCTCGACTACTCACACCTTCCCTTCGCTTCGACGTCGACTGGGGTCGTCCCCAGTGCGCTGCACAGTTGCCGTGTGGGCCTCCACTTGGTTGTGCTCGAATGCGCAGCAGTGAGTCGTCCAGCCCCCGCCCTTCACCGTCCGATGCAAAGTCAACAGCACGGATGCGTCCAAATTGCAAGATTTTTCTGGCACGAGGGACTAAGCAATTTCTCCTCGGAAATGGTAGTTCGTTTAAATAGCCCAATTCCGGTGGGCCCAGCGATATAACGACAACGAAGGGAAAGACCTTCCCATCTAAACTCGTTCACCACATCATTGCATCTTTGAATGCGCATTTTCTTACTAACTGCAGTGGGAGGCCTCATCTGCAGTAGAATACAGGACGACTGTACAGTTCGGTACGTGTTGAGTGAATGTGGATTCCCACGCTGGGGATCATCCGACGATGAGCAGATTCTTCGCCCCTGTACAGTACTCTGTTCGTATTGCAGATCTCCCGTTCCGTATCCGGGTTTAACTCAGCCTGGTCTTTTCAGGCGCTCCGCTGGCACACAGATGCGTCGCCTTTTCCGCCGCTAAATCTGGCGCTCTCTGCTCGTCCGCCATGACTTCAAATTCCGTCGGCCCCGCTTTTCTTTCTCCGACTGGTACACTCACTGCCACCTCACCTTACCACAGTCACGACTCCGCCTCCGCTCACGGTCCTGAGTTGTATGACGACAGCGATCCTGGATGAGTTCGGGACGTCGATCGGACGCCATGAGCTCCTGGACGGTCCGGATTACCTGATCGATGTGGGTTTCGTGGTAGAGGAGATTGACGACATGACTCAGAGACAGCTCGACGACATCTGGGGCCGACCTCTCCCACGGGCCGTGTACGTAGGCCAGGCTCATGGGCAGGGCTCCCTCTGTGGAGCAGCAGAGTGGCCTCCAACACTGTCACGAACCCCTGATGACAGGTCAGCCACTTCTAGTTCACTGAGCGTCTGTGCCTCTGCTCTCGAATCCAACCAAAGCCGGTTCCGCACGCTCCGAAGCAGGTGAGGCAAATAGTACGAAAGCGAACGACGTAGAGATGGACAACGTTGTCTCAGTAAAAAGTCTGACGACGTCTATTATTGAGAGTCACGTCGTAGATGGGGAAAATACCGTATTTTCGGCAAGAAAATAAAGTGAATGCTCTCGCTAACAGACGGATGGATTTTCACAAATCCTCTTTTCCTGCGGCCTCCAGGTTCTCTCCCAAACTGCAGAAAAAGGAGACAAGAGCATCCACATGCCAACGGGATGGCCTCTACAACGCCCGCCAAGCTTTTCCCCTTGGCCTGTAGCGAGTACTGACGGCCTCTCTGATTGAAATTTATGATTGTTCGATGCACATGACATTCTGAGGCTCAGGACCATGCATCACGACCCAGAAAAGTCTTTGACGTTGAGTGGTGGATGCCTTATTTGCATGAACTTTAACAAATGTCCTTTTCGTCTTACCTTATGTCTCAAGTTTAGCAGATCCAATTCGAATGCGAGATGTGTTGTGTATACGTTGCATGACTGCGTTCTGCAAGTCACAAGACACCTGACGGGCAGAGTTTGGTCACTGGGTATTTGCCTACACAGAACTTCTGTAAACGCGTCCTCTCGGCAGAGAATCTCTATTTACACCGACATGCAGTTCATTTTGTACGTCATCATTCTTGCGAAAATGCACAATTTTCCCAATTATTGCATAGCACGGGTCGAAAGAAGAGACAGTAAGACCCTATAAGCAATATAAGGATGAGACTTAACAGTCAACCGTGGGCTAGTTTTATCATTCTTCAAATATATGCTATCACCTCATATACTTAGAATATATCATCTCATCGAACCATCAAATTCAAAGTCCTCAAAATAAACATAATTATAGATAAAATATTTCATCCCACGTGAAAATTGTGACATGTATGACACTAATTGATGATGTTAATATAAAAAATTGACACGAGTTGATTACTAGATAATACACATAAAAAATATGGAACCATATATTTGCTAACATTTATGATAAATATGTTGCATCCACAAACATGCTCAAATTTTTAGAAATATTTATACAAGTTCAATGCTGAAATACAAAAACACCTCAATGTATTTACTTACACTTAAAACCTATGACTATTATCTTTCATTTGTGACCTATGAAGTAAGATACTCAACCAGCGTTATTCAAATTTAGAAATTTATTAATCTTGGATTGTCATGCAAAGAGTAGTCAGTTATTTATCAGGATAAAACATAGGCTAGTAAACCTGTGATCGCAAATGTAATGATGATGTCCTATCTTCATGTTCTAATCTGAAAATGAGATCAAATATTTATTTATTTATTTATTTATTTATTTATTTATTTTTATTTGTTTATTTATCACATTCCTCTCAAAGTTATTTTACAATCTGACTTATTCAAATAATTGGCAAGTGTAAATGAACGTATTTTAACAGATAATAGTATGTTAAATATTTATAATCTATCAATAAAATTTTCATTGTATGTTATACTAGATCATATAAGTACATTATATTTGAAAATGCAATATATTTTTTAGAAAATTATTTTTAATGAAAACATAAAATAAATATATATTTTTTTAGTAATAAAATATGACCAAAATAATTTTATTGTGATAAAAATCTATGATAAAAATGAAACTTTCAAGAAATAACATTAAATCAACAAGCAAAAAGTATAGAAAAAAGTTCCAAAGACGTAAAACTTAATATTCATTTTTCTTAGTAGAATATATAAAAATCATTCTCTATCGGTTCGAACAACGACTAATACATATATGATTTAAATTAACCCAACTTGTAAGATAACTTCAATCAGTTAAAAAATTTCATGCGACATATATTCGCAGTGCATAATATCCAATATTTGATTATGTATAAATTCGTAACTCTTTTCAAAGAATAACATATAATATTATTATTATATTGATTATAGTTTAATGAATATTTTCAAAGGTTTTTTTGTAATAATTTCATAAGGCTAAAATGTATAATTTTGAAAAAAATGAAAAATATCTATATTTCAGAAATTTTATTCTTCACATTGCATACCTATGGTTTCAAGCTTAAAGCATATTAAAGTTAAACTACGATATTAAAGTTAAAATATAGGACAACTTTTATGATCTGTATATGAATGAATGAATTTTTCTTTTCATATGTTTGTAAAACAAGGTTTTGCATATTACATTTTCTGAATACAGTTTTATTAAAAATTTGAACCATTATACCTTGTTCAGAATTCACACCTGAATCATTTTTCTGAGGTTTTACCAACAATTTTTTTTTTTAAAAGTCTATTATACCAATTGTGTTTTTCTGCACTGCATCAAGTGACGACAAAAAAATTCATTTGAAATTCGGCATTAAAACAATTTTTTGAAACTTAATTTTCAAAATTGACTTTGTTAAAATTATTTTTGGAAATTCAAAAACCAAAGAATTTTTTTCATAAACCAAATGCTAAAATCAAAATAATCATGTGTTTCTATAATATTTTTTCCTTGTATTCTTGCTTAATCTGTTAAAGAATTTGATTTAAAAAATTTCGAACGATTTAAAGTGCAAAATTCAAAATAGAAGTGATAAATTAACAACTTATGAATGACATTTTTTTCCAATATTAGGCATTTTTATGGCTTAACTTGTAAATTGTAATTTGGATTCTATAAAATCTTTTGATTGGCAAATTTGATCACATAAATTTGAAATTAAAAACATAGAAGATCTTAAATAGATATGTTTTGAATTATTTATTTTTTCATAATTTAATTAATTAATAATGTGCTTACGATATCTACAATGAATTACAATGAAAAGATAAACACAGTTTGTACATAAATTAAAAATAATCTGAAATTGATATGGATCTGAAGTTGATATGGAGAATTGATCAATCTGAAACATTGATCAATTCTCACAAAGTATATATTTCAATGAACCAAATTTTTTTAATCAAGAGATATTACATTCTAATTATATGGTTGTTTTGCATTATTGTCATAATTTTATTCTTTCAAATTATCTCTTTCATAAAACTCTGAATACAAATAATATTATCATCAATTTGTTCAATTTTTATGATAAAATAGATTTCTAACATAATTTCAATTATTTATTTTAAAATAAACTTAATTTCTTTTCTTTATACTTATCTGGCTCAATTGATTTGAAAGATCAACCTAAAATAGTCTGATGACAACTTTAACTTTACGTATTTTTTTGGAGTTTTATATCAAAATTAAACAGTTTTAAGATCACTTTAAATGTTAGGTAAATTTATTTCATAAATATATGCTCATAATTTCACTTCAACTGTCAAAAAATTATCAATATCAATAACTTCAATTTTTCAGTTTATGCATAAACTTTAAAATTATTTCAGTCTACAATTAGATGTATATATAAACTATGTCTTCATCTCAATTATCAACATATTTAATCCAATATGCATTTACGTTGTTTAGAGATGTATAATTGATAAATACCTAGCCATATACACATAACTAACATAAAATAACACATACATTGTAAATTTATCAATACTTATAATTTTATATGGAGTTCAAATATTAATATAATTTTCAGATACCAAAAAAAATAGTTTTGTTATCAATATTGATGTAAGTACACATTTGTAGGATTTTAAACTTTGAAGTCATGAGATCATCATAGACAAAAATTTACACAACTAC